GCGTTTCCAGTCTCCTTTAAAAGTTTCTACATTTTATCAATGCTGTCAATTTTGCCATCTCTGCATATTCCAAGATTTTCACCAACCATTCTTCCTTTGAGGGCGTTCTCTCCTCCTTCCATTTCTGTGCATAAATAATCTTTGCCACTGTAGTCACATACATAAATACCAAAGTTAAGGCTTCCTTTGAGGTTTTGCTGTCTAGTATCCCCAGCAGGAAAGATTAGGGAAGTCACTTAATTTTTTTCCTTTATTTCATTCTTTACCATGTCCCCAAAGGCCTTTGCCTTTTTCATGGTTTGACTATGACTGATGCACAAAACCAGTGTGCGCTTGTCAAGTCATATGGGTGGACACACAGCCTAAATTGTGGCTGTGTGTCCTCTGGCACAGGAGGCAGAATAGGCAGCCCCAAAGTCAACCCGGAGGGTAGGGGCAAAGCCATAAAGTCGGACTTCGGGGGCCTAGGGCCAGGGGGGGCTGACCACCAGACCACACTGAGTCTTTTTGTTTGCTTTTTACTAATGTATCCCTTTTTGCCTCTCCCATGGCAAATCCGCAGATGGTTTGGCCAGAGCTGGCTCGGATCTTTCTCCAAAACCTCTGGCTCAACTCCCTCTTTAATTAACAAGCAGAGCCCTGTTGCTTTTTTTAAAAGCGTTCCTTTTTTTACATGCCTCCTATTCTCCCATGTAACCTCTGGAAATAAAAGTAGAAACGTGGGCAACTGATAGGCCTTGAACAGCTCCCTCTCTCTCTCGGGGAGCTGACCGCCCTAGCGCCATGGGTGTTTTGGAGGCCGGCTCCAGAGCCCAGGCTGGCCTAGCAGACACTGGGAGTCTTATGTTCTCCCCCTCCCTGTTCTGAACCACCACTTCATTGGGCTGCAACATCTCATGTGCTCAGGATGCATGCCGAGTCAGGCACAAACCATTGCACACTCAAAAAACAGCCTCAACATCCACCAACGCCCAGGACAGATTCACCAACTCCCTGTGCTTTGCAGAGGTGCGTTTTCATAGGCTGCCACACTTGTCCGTCAGTAGGTTGGATGCAGCCTCTGAAGTTCTGGAAGCTGGGCTTTGGAACTTTGTGGTTTGCTCCCCTTCCCTGATTCCCTCTGACCTACTGTCTAATTAGCACCAAGGCCTGGGGCTAAAAATACCTTTGAGCGCAGGGCTGGGCAAGCTCCTCTCTGTTCCTTTCTTGTTTTGCAGGCTGTGTGGTCACCACGGGGAGTGGGTGAGACCCACCCAGCCCTCCCCATGCCAACCTGGCAGATTGCAAACGTTGGCCACAAAGCCATGCACCACTGAAGTTATTTCTGTCCCTTTGCATTGGCTCTCGCTGTCCTCCAGCCTGGGGTGTTTGCAGGGTTCCAGCCTTGGTTCAGAAGGCACATGGACAGAGGCTGCAGAGCTCTGGGTGCGCCTTACGAAGCAGCTCTGACCGGAAGGGCGTTCCCACGTTGCGTTCAGTAAGCGTACAAACTGTGCACACAGATACTTGAGCTGTACACTTGGGCAGTTGTTCGCAGGTCAAGTTTAAGGAGTGTGCAGTCTGTGTGGCTGTGTACACAGTAGCTGAGCTGTGCAAAGAAAGAACGTCAGTGTGTGTGGTGACAGCTTGCACATGTATTCAGTATAACATGTGAACAAGCTTACAGGAGCAATCTCAATCGATGGATAACAGTTCCCACTGTTTTACAGGACTCTCAAAAGCAGCTTGACAACATCAAGAGACGGCTCTGGTTGCCCTAACAGATGATCTCTGTAGACAACTGGATCGAGGTGGGTCAGGACTGCTGATCCTTTTAGATTTGTGAGCAGCCTTTGACAAGGTCGATCATGATCTTCTGGACCACCGCCTCGCAGACGTGGGGATACAGGGCATAGCCCGTAACTGGCTGTGCTCTTTTATCTCTGGTCGGGGACAGAGGGTGGCACTAGGGAGGGAAATGTCGTCGCGCCATTCCTTGGTGTGTGGAGTGCCGCAGGGCGCAATTCTCTCCCGATGATTTTTAACATCTTTATGTGCCCCTTGCCCAGATTATCCGGAGCTTTGGGCTGGGCTGTCACCAATATGCTGATGACACTCAGCTCTATCTGCTGATGGATGGCCACACCGACTCGGCCCCGAACACACTGACCAGATGCTTGGAAGCTGTGGCTGGATGGTTTCGTGGGAGCCGATTGAAACTAAATCCTTCGAAGACAGAGGTCCTATGGCTGGGTCGGGATGGCATGGGAATGAGGGACCAACTCCCTTCTCTTGCGGGGGCCCAATTAGTGCCATTGCCTTCCGTTAAGAGTTTGGGTGTAATCCTTGACACCTCCCTTTCCATGGTGGCGCAAGTTATAGCAACAGCCAAGGCGACATTTTTCCACCTTCGCCGCATCAAGCAGTTGGTCCCTTACCTTTCCCACCCCAACCTGGCCACAGTGATCCATGCGATGGTCATCTCCAGGCTTGACTACTGCAATTCGCTCTACGCGGGGCTGCCCTTGAAGCTGACCCAGAAACTCCAGCGGGTGCAGAATGCTGCAGCGAGGCTCCTCACGGGGTCTCTGCCATGGGAGCATATTCACCCAGTGCTTTTCAAACTGCACTGGCTCCTGGTAGAGTACAGGGTCAGATTTAAGGTGCTGCTTTTGACCTTTAAAGCCCTTCACGGCCTAGGACCCTCGTACCTACGGGACCGCCTCTCCCGGTATGCCCCACGGAGAGCCTCAAGGTCCATAAATAGCAACACCCTAGTGGTCCCGGGCCCTAAGGAAGTTAGATTAGCTTCAACCAGAGCCAGGGCCTTTTCAGCACTGGCTCCGGCCTGGTGGAACGCTCTGCCTCATGAGACCAGGGCCCTGCAGGATCTGATTTCTTTCCGCAGGGCCTGTAAGACAGAGTTGTTCCGCCTGGCCTTTGGCTTGGAGCCAATTTGATTCCCTCCCTCTCTTTCTTTTTTCCCTTCCTTCTCCTCCTGCGATGAGGCTAAATTTTAAGATTTTAAGATTTCAATATTTTAATGTTGTATTTTAATTTTGTTTTTAAGTTGTAATCATTCAACTTGTTTTTATTATTGCTTGTAAGCCACTCTGAGCCCGGCCTTGGCTGGGGAGGGCGGGGTATAAATAAAAAAATATTATTATTATTATTATTATTATCAAGAGAAACACACACACACACACACACACACACGAAGAACATCAGAATAAGTATCTCTGCTTCCTTTCAGAAAAGGATGAGTGCTCTTTATTAGAAAACAACAGGAAGAGACCGTGTCTCATTTTCTCCCCGCACTCTCCAAACATGGTCTTGAGAAATCAAGGGAATCCATCACCCCATCGCTGCATGTACCATGGGGGGGAAATGGGAAATTATTCCTGCTGCTGACAGTGGAATAAATACTGCCCCATTCTGTTACTAGTGGCCTCAGATGTTCCATATAGAAAGGAATTCAGAATCCACCCGCCCCAGATAGAAAAGAATTAAGAGGTTGCACTTCAGACTACCCACCCTTCAACCAAAAGCTGGCAACCATTGAGAATCCCTTCCCTGGGATTGATGGATGAATGGATAATTGCCCACAGCCTTAAAGCAGAGAACAGCAGCGTATCTGCCGATGCCCTGAAAACAAGAGATAACCATCCTATCAATTGAGAACAATGTAGTGTCTGGCTGTCCTGCCATTAATTTTCGCTGGCTGGCATCTGTCTGTCTCAGGAGGCAATGGAGGAGTCAAACTGCTGGAAGGTTACAGCGCCTGCCGTAAGGCTGGAAGGTTACAGAGGCCGTAGAGACTGATATGGGAGAGACACGTTTTGTTGCAGCTGGGGCAGAGGAAGGCTATGCTGCCGCAGGTGCACCATGGCGTTTCTTCTCTCTGGTCATTCTGCCTCTGGTCACTGCTCTGGGTGCACGGCCTGTCTGTCTCCAGGCACTGTGGTCATCTGCAAGGGATTCCCATACAGTGGGGTTCATGTTGCCAGCCTTCATGTCACGTTTGCAGACATCGTTGTAGTGCATAGTTGGTCTGCCAACGGGCCTGGTGCCTGAAGCCAGCTCCCTGTAGAGCACGTCCTTGGGGATCTTGCCATCTTCCATTCTGCATACATGACACCCAGCTCTATCTCTCTTATAAATCAGAACCAGTGAAGGCGGTGAAGGTCCTGTGTGAGTGTCTGGAGGCGGTTGGAGGATGGATGGGGCCTAATAGATTGAGGTTGAATCCTGACAAGACAGAAGTATAATTTTGGGGGACAGAGGGCAGGCGAGTGTGGGGGATTCCTGGTCTTGAATGGGGTAACTGTGCCCCTGAAGGACCAGGTGCGCAGCCAGGGAGTCATTTTGGACTCACAGCTGTCCATGGAGGCGCAGGTGAATTCTGTGTCCAGGGCGGCTGTCTACCAGCTCCACCTGGTACGCAGGCTGAGACCCTATCTGCCCACAGACTGTCTCGCCAGAGTGGTGCATGCTCTAGTTATCTCCCGCTTGGACTACTGCAATGCGCTCTACGTGGGGCTACCTTTGAAGGTGACCCGAAAACTGCAATTAATACAGAATGTGGCAGCTAGACTGGTGACTGGGAGTGGCCTCCGAGACCATATCACACCAGTCCTGAGAGATCTGCATTGGCTCCCAGTATGTTTCCTAGCACAATTCAAAGTGTTGGTGCTGACCTTTAAAGCCCGAAAGGTGGTTTTTTTCTACAGTGGTACCTCGGTTTATGAACTTAATCCGTTCCAAAGTCCATTCTTAAACAGAAACCGTTCTTAAACTGAGGTGTGCTTTCCCTAACGAGGCCTCCCGCCGCCGGTGCCCTTACACCGTTCGGATTCTGTTCTTAGACCGAGGTAAAGTTCTCAAACCGGGACACTATTTCCGGTTTTGCGGAGTTTGTAAACCAAATCGTTCTTAAACCGGGCTGTTCTTAAACCGAGGTACCACCATATTTGGTTTTGAGGAGCTTGCCTGGTTGTTGTGGTTGTTTTGCCTGTGTTTTATGTTGGTTTCTGCTTTCCTTCACTGTGCAGCTCTGCTTGTCACGAGACAGGTGTTTACATTCCACAGTCTGTACTGTTGGAGTTTCTCACGGGAAAGGGAGGCTGGATGTGACGTACACTGGTTTCCTGTTTTTCACTGTGTGATTCTCTCCGAGCTGTCGAGGAGAGAGGATGCATTTTTCTGCTCCGGCAGAGGCAAGATGTCTTTCTGTAATATACCAGCTTTGAACTGTAAATAAAGCTATATAGAGTATGCAGCACGTACTCCTCATCCTTCCGCTGGGCACGAGACTCTGCTTTAAATCAACACGTGGTTATGGGCCCAGAAGTCAAATCGGAGTGCCGGCAAAGGATCGGAATGCAGAGGGACGGATCGGAAAGGAATCTGCTCTGCGCGTAGAAGTGATTGATGAGGTATGTGCTACTGCTCCGGGCAGCCTGCCAGCTTCAAGTTAATGGCTTTATGGCTGGACTTTGAACTTTTAAAGCCGGTTTTGCCGGGAATAGGCAAAAGGCTCCCAGGCACAAGTCACTATGCTGGGGAAATCGAAAGTAACTTTTAAGTGCGCCTTTGTAATAAGGCAGCTGCAGCAGTGACGCAGCAAGATTTAAAGCAGCATATATGACGCTGAAGGCTAATGCCAGAGTCATGATGGCCCTTCAGGATGCTTGTGGGATTCCTAAGCTCAACAAGAAAAATTACAGCGACTGGGTTCAGTATGCAGAGGCAATTCTGCGGAAAGAGGGTTTGTTTGAGGTGATTACAGAAACCCCCCCAGTTCCAGTTACAGATGCATGGAAAGCTAAGGATTCCAAAGCAAGGGGAACTCTTACATTGATAGTATCCCCAGAAGAGCTCTGTCTATTGCGTGATAAGACCTCAGCCAGAGAAATTTGGGACGCTTTGAGAGAGGCTCACTTAAGGACAGAAGCTGGATCCACTATGTTTTACTTTAACAAGCTGCACAATATGGCTCTTGCTGAAGGTGGAGATGTGCGTTTACATCTGATGGAGATGCAAAATCTGAGACATGAGCTGCAACAGAGAGGACTCAACTTTCCAGAGGCTGTGTATTCTTTCATGATACTACAATCTTTGGGTTCAGGTTGGGAGTCTGTTGCAACCCAGATTGCTGTGCAACCAACTGCTCAGCTGACAGTGGACTTTGTTACTGCCGTGATTTTAAATGAAGCAGATCGCCGGGGTGCTAGCTGCATGGGCAAGGGGGAGTCTTCACAGACGTCATCCCATAGTGCAGTGGAACCACCAGATGGCGCCAAAGCTTTGAAGGCAGTGAAATGCTACTCGTGTGGACGTCTAGGCCATATGAAGAGGGAATGCAGACATCCCAGGGCCAAGACAGAGCAGCGCAGCGAAAGCTCATCGCGCGGAAAAGGCCGAGGCAAAGGCAAAGGTCCGGTGTCTAGGACAACGCAGCACAAGGCTATGGTTTCACGCTTCACTCCAAAGGTTGCAGAGGTCCAGAAGACGTCTAGATCTTTCTTCGTTGTTGATTCAGCGGCGACCCACCACATGTGCAACGATAAGAAACTGTTTGTGTCTTTTACACCGCAGGAAGGTGCGATTCACCAGGCGGATGACCACACTATTCCCAGTAAAGGCTACGGAACTGTTGTTCTTCACAGTTTGGACTTATCGATACAGAATGTGCTTTACGTGCCAGACGCCAAACATAATCTGCTCAGCGTTGGACAGCTGAATGAGCGGAACATTGACGTTTCCTTCAAGAACAAGAAGTGCATCATCACAAAGAAAAATGATTATGTATTGCATGCAGAATATGTTGATCGTTTGTTTGTTTTGTATTATGATGATGTGGTGCAGGATGACACTTGTTGCATTGCAGGTTCTAACAAAAGTTTGCATGCAGAATGTATTCACGATTTTCATAGAAAATTTGGTCATTTGCATTTTGAGGCAGTATCTAAAATGCCTGCCTTGGTTGAAGGTATGACTATTAAACCCTGCAGGTACCACATGAAGTGCAAAGCATGCGCAGCAAACAAAGTGAAAATGGCTGCGAAAGGTAAGGTGTCTAGTAGGAAAGCTACAGAACCATACCAGGTTGTTCATGCTGATTTGGTTGGACCACTAGCGCCCTCTTTGGGTGGAAATAGATACTTCATGGTTCTCATTGATGCATTTTCTAGATATATTTTTGTGTACAATCTCAAGCAGAAATCAGAGGCTTTTCCTAGGTTCAAGGAATTCTGTGCTTGGTTGGAAAATGTGCATGGTAAGAAGATAAAGACTCTTTTCAGTGATCGCGGGGGGGAATTCACTTCTCAGCAGTTTGAAGCTTTTCTGACTGAGAAAGGAATTCAACACGATTTGTCTAGTCCTCGCTCGCCATGGCAGAATGGACTTGCGGAACGGGCAAATCAGACATTGCTTCAAGGGTTAAAAACCTTGCTGCATGATGCCAATCTTCCAGAGAGTTATTGGGCCGAATCTCTCTCGTGTTTTGTTTACAGTTACAATCGCAGGTTATCTTCAGCGATTGGTTGTACCTCTATGAGAAGATGTTTGGCAAGAAGCCATACATCAAACACATGAAGATTTTTGGTTCTGACATGTGGGTTCGCTCACCACAAAACTCCAAGTTAGACAAGCGTGGATTGCATGGTATCTTTCTAGGTTATCAGAAAGGGTCTTACAGAATAATGATGACTGACTCTAAGACAATTAAGCTCACGAGAAGTGTTGAGTACAATGCAAAGTGGGGGAGAATGTGGGAATTTTCCAATGTTATCCTGATGACGGTGATGAGACTGAGGATAGTCAAAAGCAACCACAACAGCCCACACCCACTGATGAAGGTTCTGAGTCTGAATCTGAAACTGAATCGGGTGATTCAGAGGATTTCGAGAGTGCGAAAGCCTCTATGCGACCCTCTGAAAGCTCTGATCAAGAATTGGAGGAACCATTGTTCACAATAGGTCGTTTTTCTCCTAAGAAGGAAGAGGAGAGTGTTGAAGACTTAAGGCTAATTCGTAGGTCACAGAGAGCCACAAAAGGCAAACCTCCAAAGAGATTTGCTGATGAGTTTGCTAAGATAGCAGTAACAGCTGTTAAAAGCTCCAAGAAGGTATTTGAACCTTCAAGTTTCCAAGAAATCCAGGGTTTGGATTCGAAGGAAGCTGAGCCATGGTTAAATGCCATGAAGGCTGAGCTTGATTCCTTAGAAAGGAACAAAACATGGGAGCTAGTTCCAGTAGTTCCAGGAATGAAACTGCTGGAAGCAAATGGGTCTTCAAAGCGAAGACAGATCAAAATGGCAAGATAGTCAGACACAAAGCCAGATTGGTAGCCAGAGGTTTTGCACAGGTACCAGGTGAAGACTATCACGAGACCTATTCACCCACAGTGAGATATGAAAGCATTAGGCTTATGCTCAAGCTAGCTGCAGAGGAAAATCTACACATTAGTCACCATGATATTAATACAGCTTTTCTGTACGGATCTCTAGATGAATCACTTTATATGCTTCCACCTGATGGCGTACAGGTAAAACAGGGATTTGTTTGTGCTCTGAAGAAATCCCTTTATGGTCTCAAACAAAGTGCACGGTGTTGGCACACAAAACTCACTGAAGTATTGTTTTCTCTAGGTTTTCAGCAAGGGAAAGCTGATCCATGTGTATTTGTCAAAGAGGAGGGGCAAAAGAAACTGTACTGTTTGTTTTATGTTGATGATTTATTATTCTTTTGGAAAGATGTCGCAATGTACAATAACGCCCTAGCTCAACTGAAAGAGCACTTTGACATGAAAGATCTTGGTGAGGTAAACAACTACCTATCTCTGGAAATAGAGAGAGATCAAGATGGTAACATTCTAGTACACCAGTCACGGAAAATTGCTGATGTGTTAAGCAAACTTAATCTGATGGAAGCGTACCCTGTAGACACACCGATGACAACATGTTATCAGGTAGATGACACTGAAGAAGCATTTTCTGACACTACACTGTACAGGAGTGTGCTAGGCAAGCTAAACTTCATTGCCAGATGTTCAAGACCAGACATTGCTGTTAGCTGTAATTTGCTAAGCAGACAAGTCAACAATCCTAGTGTCAAGGATTGGAAAGCTCTGAAACGCATAGCGCGGTATTTGAAAGGCACTATGCATTACAGACTGAGATTTAACAATCAGAAGTCTGGTGGTCTTGAGATATTTGCAGATGCAAGTTTTGGAAGTGACGCTACAGACAGGAAAAGTACGTCTGGAGTTTGCTATATGTACAATCAGAGTCTGTTTGATTGGTCATGCAAGAAGCAAACAACAGTTAGCTTAAGTACTTGTGAAGCCGAACTGAATGCACTGTCTTATTCACTTAAGGATTGTGAATGGTTAGTACAATTGTGCAAAGATATGAAAATTCCTGTCAAATGTCCAATCCAGGTTTACCAGGACAACAAAGCATGTTTGGCTTTGCTGAAGTCTGAAGGTTGTAAGCAAAGCACAAAGCACTTGCAATTAAAGTTGCAGCATGCTAGGGAATGTATTCAGAAGGGACTCGTAACGGTGTCCTATATGCCAGGTAATGAAATTCCTGCTGATGTATTGTCCAAGATTGTATCGAGGGATCAACACTGTACCTATGTGCAGAAGTTGGGTTTGTACTGATATTGTGCAAACACGCTGCCCAGTGATGTTCACAGAAAGGGGGAGGATGTTGGTTTCTGCTTTCCTTCACTGTGCAGCTCTGCTTGTCACGAGACAGGTGTTTACATTCCACAGTCTGTACTGTTGGAGTTTCTCACGGGAAAGGGAGACTGGATGTGACGTACACTGGTTTCCTGTTTTTCACTGTGTGATTCTCTCCGAGCTGTCGAGGGAGAGAGGATGCATTTTTCTGCTCCGGCAGAGGCAAGATGTCTTTCTGTAATATACCAGCTTTGAACTGTAAATAAAGCTATATAGAGTATGCAGCACGTACTCCTCATCCTTCCGCTGGGCACGAGACTCTGCTTTAAATCAACATTTTATTTATTTTCTGGAGAGATGTAGGTGTTTTACCTATTGTTTGGGGAGGGGAGTGAGTGTTAGTCTTTCTTCTGTGAAATGGGTATTTTGTGGTGTCCACACTTTCTTTGATTGTCAAATGAGCCCCCATGCCCAGATAGGTTGGGAACCCCTGATCCGGTGCCACATTTTGTAGCAGTAAATTACATCAGTTGTGGAACAGTGTCTCTATCTATCTGCCTATTTATTTGTCTATCATTTTGAGCCAAGGCTCATCACAACTTCACCCTGGAATCTGGTTTCAATGTCCGGGGAAAAGGCTTCTGATAAAGAAACATGACTTGCAGAGAAGCACCCCACAGTTTAGCATTTAGGCTTTTTAAAGATTCCTATCCCTCTTCATCTGAGCCGATAGATAGATTTGGGGGAAATGCTTAAATGGGGGGGGGGGGGGAGCTTGTCCAAATATTATCTCGGGCGTTCATGTTATCTTTGAAAAACTGCTCTTCTTAGTCTCAGCTCCTCACCTTTATAATGTGGACACCAAACCTACCTTACAGGGTTATTGTACAGATTGAGATAATATATGCAAGTTGTTTGGGGCACCCAACAAAAAATGTTATCGAATTGCTGTTATTTATCTGTCTTATCCTCCTTTAAATCCTGGGACCCTTTTAATTTTCAGCGCAAGGAAACTGGTGAGCAGGCTGTGTTGAAGTGGGTGTGTTTATTGTGCAGACCTGGGAGTGGGTGGGGAGGGGAGGCAGGGGGTATGTTTCTTTTTTTGGTGGAGAAGCCAGGGCAGTCCCTTTTCTGTGTTGGTCCTGCCATCGCTCTGTGGCCTAGGCTTGGTTTAGATGAATCATCATTTTGAGTGAACACACAAACCATAATTAGCTTTGGAATATAAATATGGAAAGTTCGGCGAATGTTACTGACCAATATAGCTCCCCGGCTCATTATCTGCACCCGGGCTGCTCCACACAGCTATTTTCTGAACAAAGGGCTTCGCTTCACTTTCCAGTTATTTAAATAAAGCTCAGGGAGATTTATGAGACTTAGAAGCTGGGAGAGAGATGGCAGCGCAGGAGGAGATGTTTGGCTGTTCAGCGTAGCCGCTGTGGAGACAGAATCTCTCCCTCTGAGGAGAAGTCAGAAGCAGAGCTCATCCTGGCTCCTCAGTCTTGGACGGAGGGAGGAATGGAGGGGGTAGGGGAATAGCTGAGGATTTACCTCAGCAAACACACTGCAGGCTGCTTTGGGGGCCGAAGTGAGCTAACGCGACTCGGGTCACACCCAAACCGTACATTTAAAGCACTCTTAAAACTTTATTTCCTTAAGACTTTATTTCCTTTATGGATAACAACGATACAGATTCTTTCAAGTACCAGACTGATATATCTGCTTTGGGAGCTCGTAAATTTTCCTTTTCTGATACAGTAGGGGGAGGGGGGAGTTTGTTAAGGGTGCTGCGAATTATAGTTCTGTGCAGGGTAAACTATAGCTTCCAGGATTCTTTGGGGGAAGTCATGACCGTTGAGGTGGTAAGAGCACTATAAATGTAAGGTGTGGCTGTGACCTCAGACTGTCATTCCACTGGCGAAAATTCAACTCACCTTGAATGGCACCACCTCTCTCATCCTCTGCCTGTTCTTCCTGAAAACATACCAACTCAAGGATCCATCTTGCCTAGCATCCTGTTTCCAATAGGGGTCAGCCAAATGTCTCTGGGAAGCCAGAAGGCAACAACCCCCCTCCTCAAACTGCAACTGTTATTCAGATGTATGAGCCATCTTTCCCATAGGGCTTAGTGGCTCGTTGCGCCAGGGCGCCGGCCTCTAGGGGCGCCCCAGTGAGTGGGGGAGCTGTGCGGCTTTGCCGGCAGCCTCCCCTTTCCCTGCACACCGCCAGCTGCACCCTGCCAACTATCTTTCCTTCCTACCCTCCTCGGCCCGCCTCCCTCTGTGGGCAGGCGCATTGGCGCTGCTCCCACAAGTGCTCTGTGGTGGCAGCGCGGGCGGCGGCGGACGAGGAGCCGCTCCTCGACTCTGAGGCGGCGGTCAAGGACGGGCCCGCCTCCTCCTCCTCCACTGCCTCCTATCCCTCGGCCACGGGAATCCCCTCAGCCGCCACCCGCGAGCTGCTGTTGGCGGCGGCTGAGGAAGCGGCGGGAGCAGCGGTGACGGGAGTGTGGTATAGTGGTTAAGAGCAGTAGACTTGTAATCTGGTGAACCGGGTTCGCGTCTCCGCTCCTCCACATGCAGCTGCTGGGTGACCTTGGGCCAGTCACACTTCTTTGAAGTCTCTTAGCCCCACTCACCTCACAGAGTGTTTGTTGTAGGGGAGGAAGGGAAAGGAGAATGTTGGCCGCTTTGAGACTCCTTCGGGTAGTGATAAAGCGGGATATCAAATCCAAACTCCTCCTCCTCCTCCTCCTCCTCCTCCTCTTCTTCTTCTTCTTCTTCTCCTCCTCCTCCTCCTCCTCCTCCGTGTCACCGGTGCCCGCTGCCCCACTACCACCACCAATCCCCGGGGCACAGGTGGAAGCGTGGCAACCGCCCCTTGCTCCTCAGGCCTTCGGGCCGCTGGGCAGCAGCGAGAGCGCCAGCAGTGAGCTGTCGTCAGGCAGCGGAGGAGGCGCCCCGGAGCCTCGCAAGCGAGCACGGGGTTCCAGCGGTCTGGCCAGCCGTGCCGCGTCCACCACATCGGCAGCATCTTTCATGGGCGGTGACTCCCGGGGCTACAAGGTGGTCCGCAAGTTGGGCCCCGAGTTCTAAATTCTGGGAAAGGGAGGGAGCGCTGGATATGCTTAAGACTGCCCTGTGTACACTGCCTCCGAATATGGAGGCTCAATGAAATCATAATGCCTAACTGACAGCCCTATGAATGGCATCTCACCCAACGGCCAGCACTGCAACTTACGGCAGTGCATTTGATAGTTAGCAGCCGCACGGCTGCTGCTCACTGGATAGCTCAGTCAGCAGAGCATGAGACTCTTGATTCCTGTGTTGCAATGGGTTGGACTAGATGATCCTCGTGGTCCCTTCCAACTCTACAATTCTATGATTCCCCCCATGCTAGTTTCATTCGTTCCGCAAGTTTTTTCGTCTAGCGAATTTTTCGTCTTGCGAAGCACGAAATCCCATAGGAATGCATTGAAATTCAATTAATGCGTTCCTACGGTCAAAAAAAGTCCAAACAAAGCCACATTTGGTACAACAAGAGTTTATTAAGTGCTCTTTAAAGTCACACATACTGTAAAGAGCATTTCAAAAATTGAAGGAACAATAAATTAAGTTTCTAAACATGACAGAAAAACATTTAAAAATCAACAAAGTGTACAGTACACAGAAATTCAAACCCAGATTTTTAAAAAAAACAAAACAGCAGAGTGGCCCAATGGTCACAGAAAATCATAAAAATGCAGAAAAAACCACACAAGCTTCCAGATTCTTGCAAACCCCTCCTCAACTGTTCCCCCAGCCACCCACCACACAGAAATTCAAACCCAGATTTTTTTAAAAAAAACAGCAGAGTGGCCCAATGGTCACAAAAAATCATAAAAATGCAGAAAAAAACACACAAGCTTCCAGATTCTTGCAAACCTCTCCCCAAACCAAGTCCTTGAATTCCAAACACCCCAACCTAAAATCCAAAACCCCCCAAAAAAGTTTTAAAAGTTTAACTTAACAAATGGCTGCAAAAGAAGTTTTGGAAAAAGCTTCAAAAATCACCAAAGTCTTCAAAAACCTCAAAAAAGGCTACCACACCGCGTGCTATGAGTTGCTCCTCAAAGTCAAGTCGCAACTGCACCTCTTCAAGCAATGCACCCTGGGTATTAACGGTTTTACGAAAAAGGAAACAAACTTGCAAGACGTTTTCGTCTTGCGAAGCAAGCCCATAGAGAAATTTGTCTTGCGAAGCAGCTCAAAAAACGCAAAACCCTTTCGTCTAGCGAGTTTTTTGTCTTGCGAGGCATTCGTCTTGCGGGGCACCACTGTATATACCCTTTCTCCACACCCTTTATAATTTTTTGTACATCTATCCTATTTAAACATATTTTTCTCCAAACGAAAAAAGTAAACCAAACTCTTTCTCCTCCTGGAGAAGATGCCATAACCCACTTCTTTATTTAGCTAGATTTCTTACCTGCCTTTCACCAAAAGGTCCTAGGGAAATACTGCAACGCAAAACACATATTTTTTTTTTTGGCATATAAGCCATTTTTTTGGCATATAAGCCAGTCTATAAATTATTACTATTATTAAACAGATAAAATCATTACAATTAATGGCAAAACTAGAGGCTGCTGCCCCTCCCCACTCTGCTTGCCAACCCAAACACCCACCTGCTGTGTGAAGAAATACTTATTTTCCTTCGTCCTTTTACCTGCCCTGAAATCATCTGTCTCAGCGACAGACCCTTCTACAGAGAGTTTTGCCGAAGGGGAAGGTGGCTGCTGCCCTCAAGTTCGCAATCTAAAAACAGCACAAAAGGAAAATGATTGGGGAGGGAGGAGGAGATGAGCAAACTCAGATTCAAGGTCTTAGTTACACGTTGTCCTAATGATAAGCCAGGATGGAAACATTTCAAGGAGGACAATCAAGATCTGCTAACAACCTGATATGCCATCTGCTGCCAGCTGACAAGATGATGGAGTCATTCAAAAGGGTTGCTCAGGAGAATTAGGATGAATGAGGGAAAGACACGGAGCTGAGTCACAGAATAATATCTGCCAATGTCAGGGGATGACTTGCATGATTTGGCTGTTGCTGATCCAATACGGCAGAAAAGACTTTCACAGCACCTGAGGTGCAATGCGTTTCAGTGGCGTCATTTCACAATTCAGCCGCCAGTCACTGAGTACAGAAAAGTCAAATGATATATGTGTAAAAACATCCCCAAAACACTGAGCTCCAGAAAAGGCTGGCATTTGCCACCATCCACACAGAAGCCTAATTTCCCTCCCAAAATTTCTTTCATAAAAGGTGCCCCTGAAAAGACACCTTAGAGCTGCAC